GGGGTAAAAAAAACACCCACTTTTCAAACTACAAAAAAATCCCCCCCCCCCCCCCCCCATAGTCCAAAATATATATAAAACAATGTGGATTTTTTTTAAATATCAAAAATCTTTAATGGATTTTCTACTGCACATTTCAGTAAGAGGCATCATTTACAGTATTTTAAGCCATACAAGTCTTTATACCCGGGGTTCCCTTTAAAAATAAAGGTTCAAAAAGGCCTTTTCACAGTGATGCCATAGAAGAGCCATTTTTGGTTCCTCAAAGAACCTTTTACTGAACAGTTCTATAAAGAGTTCTAAGCCATGAACCGAAGTAAACAAACCATTTCAGAAATAAATCACAACTTTACAAGATTGATTCAAACCAAAAAAAAAAGTATTTTTGGACAAACGAACAAATATAAATGAACAAATGACAAAATTAAGAAGCAAAAACAATAGTATGGTTTAAAAGGGAAAAAAAAGTATAAGAAAGTAGAAAGTGCAGTAAACAGTAAAACAATTTAGCGCAATTTTGTGTTTTTTGATTACGATAATAAATTAACATAATGCTGTATGACAACAAATACCAGTTTGCAATATCAAGTAGCATATCAGACTGTTTTTGTACAGACTAAAATAACTGGATATGACTGACACCGAAAGCCTTGCACATTTACAAGTTATAAATGACCGTACCCACTTTTACATAAAAAATATGGTGGATCGATTTTAATAGTCAAGTCAAGTTTATTTGTACAGCGCTTTTCACAAATCAAGATACAAATCATTGCAAAGCAACTTTACAGCAAATTAAGTTTCTACAATATTTAGTGGTATCTTATCAGTGGTGACTGTCAGTTAATGTACATATGGCAGAAATGTACGGAAAAATCAATTTAAGACGTAATAAAAGAGACGATGAACACTATTAACAGCAATTATTATATGATGCAATCAAACTTATAGCAAAATATGGTAGTTCTGTATGTTGTTTCAGGGTTGGCATCATCTCTTCTCAGGTGTTCTGGATCCAGACTGAAGCTTGTGTAAATCCTAGTTACCATGTATTTCTGATGTTATCTATTTTATCAGTGAAGAAATTCATAAAGTCATTACTATTAAACTGTGAGGGAATATTTAGATTGGGTGGCGTCTGGTTATTTGTTAGTCTAGCCACTGTGCTAAATAAAAACCTAGGATTGTTTTAGTTATTTTCTATGAGTTTGTGGATATGCTCGGCCCTGGCAGCTTTTAGAGCCTGTCTATACATAACATACTGTTTTTCCACGCAATTCTAAAAAGTTTTTCTCCATTTGCGCTCAAGACTATGAGTTTCTTTCTTGAGGGAAAGGTTATTACTGTTGTACCATGGCGCAGTACGTTTTTCTCTAACCTTTTTCAATTTGATGGGGGCAACAGCTTCTAATGAATTAGAGAAGATAGTGCCCATGTTGCTTGTCATTCGTCTAGTTCATGTGTACTTATGTGTACACAGAGCAGTTGAGATAAATCAGGCAGGTTATTTGTGAATCTGTCTTTGGTGGCTGGAACAATAGTTCTGCCTGGACGATAACGCGGAGCCATATAGTTAATATTAGTAATACGCAGCATGCACGATACAAGGAAATGGTCAGTAACATCATCACTTTGAGGTACGATATCTATATCAGTAAGATCAATTCCATGCGATATAATTAAATCTAGCGTATGGGCCCGGTGACGTTTTGCTTGACTCCAAAAGAGTTTATTAGGTCAGTAAACGCAAGTCCTAATGCATCATTTGTATTATCAACGTGAATGTTAAAATCTCCGACAATTAGCGCTTTATCAACAGTAACCAATAGGTCTGAGAGGAAATCTGCAAATTCTTTTAGGAAATAGATTTAACATGTTACTAAGCTCAAGTCTCAATACTCTCTAAAGTGTAAAAAAGAAATATCACAAATGCTGGATGACATTTGAGTGTTTTAAATTGTTTAAATAATTGGAATTAGCAATAGTTTTCAGAGTTTATTTATTAATACGTTTGCATTCACCTTAATTCCATCCAAAAGTCTTGGCTAAAAATCCTGAGATCTTCTCACTTGTGAAGGATGCGTACAGTACCGCTTTTGACCAAAACAATATTTCTTAGAAGGCTACCTAATTTATGCCTAGACATGTTCTCTAGGTAGACATGTTTCAGGGCATAGCTGTTGAATATCAGACATTTCATAATAGTTAAATCTCTCATTAAACCATGACACAAATAAAGCAATATTTTTGAATTCCAGTCACAGTAGGTTTGAGGATTTCTTGGATGCGATTTGACCTGCAGCCTTTGGGATGGTTTGCGATGGTGTGTGTTTGAGGTCTTTGTTTAAGAATGGCCCTCAGATGGGCTTTCACGTCTCAGACTGATGCCTGCGGGAAGCATTCGAGACGCTTGAGTGGACACACTCACACACAACACACCACCTCTACACACACACACAGGCGCACATACACCTGCACCTGTCACACTTTGTCACTCAAACTAATGACCCAGCTTATGATATATCAGTCACACTGAGGCAAGAAATACAAAAAGCCTTTGACTTTTTTATACAGTAGCTAGAATTGCCAGGAGTTACTGCTTGTGTGTGTGTGTATGTATGTATGTGTGTGGAAGCAGCTCTCAACAAGAGTAAGAGTGCCCAGCTCATTTAGATTAATAGAACATTACAACGATTCTGTAAGGCCATCTCATGACTGATCGTTAGATCGGACACACAATCTGTTCGGTCCAAATCCATATTATTGATCCTTCACATAATGCAGAGTGCAGAAAACCCCTGTCCACACAACACTGCCCTAGGCCTGAGTTACAGTCCTGACCACATTTAAACAAACCTCATCCACCGGTGTATTTATTAACACTCAGCCATAACATTCTACTCGGTTAAATCTTATGGAGAAATATGGGAAGAAATGTCTTAAAAACAATAATAATTATAATAATAAATTTTCATAAAGAGATTTAATTTAATTGTATTTGTATTATTTTGTTTTTCACCCTAATTTCTCATTATGGTAATCATTTTGATCATTACCTTTATTTGTATAGTGCTTTATACAGTACTGATTGTGTCAAAGCAGCTTCACAGTGTCAAACAGGAAAATAGTGTGTCAATGATGCAAGAAGACTAACAAAGAGTCATTTTCCAGCTAAAGTCAGTTCATTGATGATTCAGTGATAAATTAATCTAATTATCATTAATGTACTGTAATGCTTGAAATATTCTTATTATTGTAATTATAGTATACAGACCATATTATTTTACTAAAATTAAAATAAATACTGTCAATATATATGCTTATAACTGTACTTTACAAGTGTATAATGTGCATTGCAATATGGTGTAAATACATCTCATTCCCATTACTCTAATGCACAAAAAAAGCTCATTATTATAATAAAATAATTTTGTCTGGACACAATACTTAATATAATCTTGACTTTAACGTTTCTTTTTAATTAATTTTTCTAAACTTAAGACCCACTCACTTCAGAAACGGACATTGCAAAAACTGTAATGTAGTGACATTAAGGCAATTTCAAGCAAACTGAAAAACGGTGTACAAAATATTTGTGTGAAATTCTAGAATGTATAATACATGCCTAATGGATAAAATTATATTTCTCTAGAAAATTGTTAGAAAAAATATTGAATTATCATCAATGGACATGAAACTGTAAATTAGAATGACTCATATACTGTAATTAATTTAGTAACTACCATTCTATGTACTGAGAATGAGATTTTCTGGCATTAGGCTACTGACAATTTATGCTTAAAATCTATGCGACAAATTTCTTGAGGCAATATAGACTTTTTATGAATTATTTTTTTAGGGTGAAATGTAAACGAGAATTTTTTTCAAAAGTAATATAAGGTCCTTGACTTAAATATTCACAGTGAAAAAGAAAATAATTGCTCTTGTGTTTGTAACCTCAGGACAGTAATAGGTGGGATTGCTAGGATAAATGTACTTAAGTTATGTGGTGTTATTCAACAAGAGACAGTAGAACGTGGTTTTAAATTTTCATGCAAAGCCTGTGGATATCATGCGGCTCTATGTTTACGGCATCTGCCTTTTTTTAACAGGGATCTGTCTCCTTTTCGCTCTCTCCCTCGAGCTCTCTGAATCAGTGTTGGTGTTATTGATTGAATCGTCTGTCTCCTTTTCGCTCTCTCTCTCTCTCTCTCTCGAGCTCTCTGAATCAGTGTTGGTGTTATTGATTGAATCATTCCTCTGTTCTGCCTCTCTCAATTCTATCCGTTTCACTCGTTGGAAGGGAGGGAATGAATAAGTGATGAAAACAAAACAGCGAAACCCTCTTCAGATCGATATTTTGTGTGTGTGTGTGTGTGTGGCAGCGCTAGAGAAGAGTGACTCGGGGGAATGAGCAAGCGAGAGAGTGTGAAAAAGTGATTGAGAAGTTGAAGAGAGACACGCTAACGCTCACTGCCCCTTGTCACCAGAAAGCCAGGTGTCGGGTTAAAGTCACTGACCTCTGCCTCTTTTTAATTTCATTTTTTCCTTCACATATATTTACCTCCTGTCCTAATATACCGTTTTTTCATGCAGTTCCAGCTATGATCACATCCCACCCAAACACTACCATGGCCATAAAGGGGCAAAATAAGGAGTTAAACTGTACCGCCCGAGGTGAGTACCCCATCATCATTCGCTGGGAGCGAGGCGACACCGTTATTGACCCTGACCGCAACCCTCGGTACTCCATCACTACCAACCCCAACGAGAAAAGCGATGAAGTTATCTCCACACTGAAGGTGAGACACATGTGCACACACATACAGTATATGTACAGTATGTAGTTAGTGAAGGAGTTCAATAAATGTTGAAAAATGGCAGAAGCTTGTCTAAATGTTTCCAAAAAGGTTTCCTAGTAGACTCTTTCACCTTTTTTTTTTCAACTTTTATTTTTGCTTTTGTGGTTTGTTTGTTTACTCACTCTAAAATGATTTTATATTCTGACCTGAGAAGTACATTCATTTATTTATTGAATGATTGATTGATTGATGGATTGATATCTGTGAAGCACATTTAGCTGTATTTATTTATGTATTTATTTATTTGTTTGTTTGTTTGTTTATTTTATTTTATATTCAAATCATATCTATCTATTATTATTATTATTATGATTATCTATAAATTGTTATATTCTGACCTGCTTTTTTATTTGTTTGTTTGTTTAATTATTTTTCAATGAATTCTAGTATATTCTGACCTGCTAAGCACTTTGAGCTAGATTTTATATATGGAAGGTTGTATTTATTATTATTATTAGTAGTAGTAGTAGTAATATTATTATTATTATTTAGAATCAGAATCAGCGGAGCTCACGTGTGCTTGCGGAGGGATGTACACACTGACGAGAATTAACAAGCATAGGGTGGCATGTTAAACATGTTAGACACATTAAACTGGAATAAGATAAGTATTTTAACCTTGAAAAAAATATACCCCTCGGCTTTAAATAAAAACGATAACACTAGGTAAAGATTTCTAAACAAAGGTTGACAAGGATGAACTCATTTACATAATTTGTCCAATCACAAAATATTAGGGAATACAAACAGCCAATCATTTAGCATTCCTACCTTACTGCCAAACTACATACCTTACAATAACAATACATGAAATGGGCCTCAAAATGAGGAAAAGAGAAAAACAAGTTCTTCTCTTAAACACTCTTTCTCTCTTTCTGCAGCTGAAGCCAGCGGAGCGAGGGGATTCCGTCTTTTTTTCCTGCCACGCCATCAACTCATATGGCGAGGGCCGAGGGCTCATCCAGCTGACGGTGCAAGGCAAGACAATCAGCCATGAACAACACGCTCACATCTTACATGATACTCTTTATCTTGAGACACAAAATCAATAATTTACCTCCCGGCCCCAAGCCACCTCTTACTCCTCAGCCTCTCTCTCTCTGTCTGACTCTATTTGAAGTCTATTTCCACTTGTTTTGTTGGCAGAACCCCCTGATCCCCCAGAGCTGGAGGTTCGAGAGGTCAAAGATCGCAGTATGAACCTGAGGTGGACGCAGCGGTTCGACGGCAACAGCATCATCACCAGCTATGACATCGAGTACAAGAACAAATCTGGTGCGGCATTGCTTTGTTTCCATTTCAAGCTTGGATGAATTGCATTGTGAGCATGCATTAAATATGTATTTGTATGTCAAAAGAATATGTAGCGAATAAGCTCAGACTACGAGAAGATGAATGGGATGTGAACGGATTTCTGTGGCATTGTGACTTGGGTGTATTGCCTAATTTTGCTGTTTGTACATATGCGGTCATCCTAGTTTTCAGTGCATCGCTTGTTTTTCAAATCCATATGATTTGACCTGTAAACAGTACTCTTTGCATGCTAACAAACATAATGTTCCAGAACAGCCTGGATGGAGGTGCGATGTAGTAATGTATCATGTTATTCTGTCCTTGTCGCAGACCCATGGGAGCTGAAACATGCCACCCGTAAGATCTCGCCCACCAACAACCAGGCCAACATAGTGGAGCTCCACCCGGCGTCCGTGTACAGCATTCGCATGTACTCCTACAACAAGATTGGACGCAGTCAAGCCAGCAAAGAGCTGACCATCAGCACAGAGGAAGCACGTACGTCTCCCACCCCTAATCTGATCTAATTTACTCACCCTCATGCAGTTCCAAACCTATACCTACTTCTTTCCGTGGAACACAAGAGATGCATTTTTGAAGAATTTCCTGGCCACTCTTTTCCATAATGTCCACAGAAATTTACTGATCTGGTTCTCGAGTTCTCACTGACTCAATATTTCGATCACAATGGTTGAAAGCTCACTGGAAGGGAAGATTATCTGTAAATTTCAGCCTGTTTCTCACACTAAGCTATCATATGACTTCAAATAATTGGAATAAAGCACTTAAGTCTTATAGGACACTTTTATTATATGTTTATGGTGCTTTGTACCCTTTTTGAAGCTTAAAAGTACCAGTCCCCTGTCATTGTGATTGCATTAAAAGTTACCATGATATCATACAACATTTCTCATATTGTGTTTCACAGAAAAAAAAGAAAGTCATGCAGACTTTTGAGGTGACTGAATTTTTTATTTCTTTAATATCCTTGTGATATGACATGATTCTCTTCTTACAGCTCCTGATGGGCCACCCATGGATGTGATTTTACAGCCAATGACCTCTCAGAGTATTCGTGTGACCTGGAAGGTATGTCTGCGACTCCTAAACTTGCCATTCGTTGGACTTTAGAGCCTAGGTCTTCAACCTTGCTCCTGGGGACCTACTGTCCTGTAGAGTTTAGCTACAACCCTAATCAAACTCACTAGAGCCAGCTAATCAAGGTCTTCAGGATCACTTGAAAAATCACAAACCAGGTTTGCTGAAGCAAAGAAAAAAAAGAATTTGCAGAACAGTGGGTTCCCAGAAGCAGGGTTGAAGTTTGAATTTTTTTTATTCAGTTTTAAAGTTTTAAATTCACTTACTGTATCATTTTCTTTTCACTCCACTTAGGCACCTAAAAAAGAGCTCCAGAATGGAGTGATCCGTGGCTATCAGATCGGATATAGGGAGAATGGACCGGGCAGTAATGGACAGTACAGTATTGTGGAGATGAAAGCCACAGGTGATAGTGAGGTGTACACCCTCGATAACTTGAAGAAGTTTGCTCAGTATGGTGTGGTGGTCCAGGCATTCAACCGAGCCGGAACCGGACCTTCCAGCTCTGAGATCAATGCCACAACACTTGAAGATGGTAATGAAATATGCTTTATCTATCTGTCTATCTATCTGTCTGTCTATCTATCTATCTATCTATCTATCTATCTATCTATCTATCTATTATGCTCTGGGGATTTCTCTTTTGTGTGATTGTGCACGAGTCGTGTGTACAGGGCGACTCTGGCCCGTGGCCCTCATCCACATGTGTGATATTGATGCTGTTAAGGATAATAGTAATAACAACAAGCATAGGAAAATAATTATAATTAGCCTGTCTGCCGAAGCCCCTCTCCCTGATCCACTGCTTTTCCTCCCAGTCTAATTATGTGCAGCTGAGCGCATTGTCTCTCCCTCTCTTTTTTCATCTTTCCTCCAGATCCCTCTCTCCGGCTTTCAACTCCCCTCCTCTCCGCACCCACTCCTCTCTCACTCGCTCTCAAAACACCTTTCATTTATCTCTCCCTCCATTTCCCAACTTCCCCTTCCACCCCTCCGCCCACTTATGTCCCGCTATCTTTCTTCTCCATTCTTATTTTTGGAAAGCTCCTGGGTACTTTTTGTGCCACTGTGGAGTTCTTCCACTTTGTTTTTACCTCCATCAGTGGTGTTCTTCTCACGTTTAGTTTTTTTCTTCCAACCCTAAAATTCTAAAAGATAAATAAATAAAAAATCCAGCTTAGCCAAGATGGTCTACAATATTAAAACCAGGTCTGCTTGTTGATAGTCCAGCCAATTAACAATCCAGACCACCTCTGACCAGCTAATAAAACTAGACCAACTAGAAAAAAATGAAAAACCATCTACCACTTTAAGGTGATTTCATTTGCATCTTCTAATTCACACTGCTCCGACAGACATGGACCAATTCTGGCAGTCACCAGATTACAGTATTACGGATTTCCTTTTAGAATGACGAATACAGACTGCTTCCACATGCTGGTACAGAGTTATTTCTTCTTGTGCAGGTGTAGAACGTACAGACTAGTTGGCCATTGGCTGTAGTCTTTGCAGTGTTCAAGCACAACTTTTTGTCCCAGATGAAGGTGACGTGACGCAACACCACAGGCGGCTTTCGTCACTGCCAGGTCTTTGATGTTTGATGTACCTGGGCATCACTGAAAAGTGGTCCAAAGATGGATGATTTTGTTTGCATCACAGGGACATCTTTGGAGTGATTCATTGAAAAGATCTGACTCAAAATAAATGATTTGTTCATGAATAAGACATGGCTACTTCTCTCATGAATGTGCCAAGACGACTCAGTGGATGTCAAGATTTTCATTGCATAATGTCTTGAATTTTGTCTGTTTTTTGCATACTGTACAGTAAGCCTGTTGTATGACAGAATATATATAGCACACAAATTATATAGACAACTTTCCAGACACTTTTATGGCCCTGACATTCACTTTATTGACAAAAGCAGCCAAGATATTATAAAAAAAAAATAATATATATATATTGCGCACAGGATTGAAGAGTTATTGCGAGTTGTGCTTGTGAGCGTTCTGTCAAGCCGTTCTACTCTAAATGGCAGTTTTAGTGTGGTCCACCAGGGCCAGACAGAGTCGGACCTTAAGGCCTCTTGAAACAAATACCATGATTTCTCCTCTGCTCTTTCTCCCTCCCTCCTCACACCATCTCCTTTACTCACTCCTTCTCTTCCTGTGCCAGCTGCAGCTGCTCCCTCATAGAGCCAAGCCAGCTTTATCCCTCCTCTATACCTCCTTTCATCCTGTCGTCCGCACATGCTTTTTCCCTCCCAGCAAGTCACACAGACAGGCTCTGTGTCCCCTCAATAGTGCCATTATTTATTCAGGGACACAATTTGGCACATCACCACCACCACATTTGCGGTGTATCCGGAAAAATAAATCGAACACATTTAGTAGGTGAAACAGCTCAAGATCGCGATAACAGTAACGTTTCGCTTCTCCTCAGCTTCGGGACATGATTGTTCCATCCATTTCGAGTGTAGTTACAAGGTTGTTGATGTTCTTGGGCCATACCAAGTGCTCCAATTGCAGTATATTACTGTCATTTTACTATATCACTGTAATTGTGCTCTTTCACTGCAATTTTTGTTTCCACTTCACCTATTGTATCTTGTTTCCATTGGTGCCTGAATTATTTTCCTGCCGCTTCCTTTGCTTTTATGTGACCGTCTCTCATTTATCTCTCACAGTTCCCAGCCAGCCACCCCAGAATATACGGGCCATCACGGTGACATCAGACGAGGCGGTGATCACGTGGTCCGAGCCCCCACGGATGACCCTGAACGGGGTTCTGAAGGGCTACCGTGTGGTGTTCTGGTCCCTCTACCCCGATGGAGGTGGGTGCTGTGGGGGCCAGACACTGGGGCTCAATCAGAGTAATTATAAACTATTACTGTTACTTCCTCACTAGCAGCAATCCCTGTAGAGCGTCCCCTACTGCCCGCCCGTGTATCTGTATCCCAGCCAGTCCAAATCACAGACGGTGTATATTTGTGGGTGGACAGGTGTATGTGTGTGTGTTGCTGTCTTTTATATCTAAAAGGAGTAAAATGTGGATTAAGAAATCGGCGAAAGCGTCTTCAGTGTCACATGATCCTTCAGAAATCATTCCAATCTGCTGATTTGGTGCTCAAGAAACATTTCTTATAATTGTCGATGCTGAAAACAGTTATGTTTCTTAAAGGGATAGTTTCAAAAATGAAAATTATGTCACTATATACTCACCCTTGTGTTGTTCCAAACCTGTATGAGTTCCTTTTTTTCTGTTGAACACAAAATAAGATATTGGCTACCATTGGCTACTGCAACTGTTTAGTTACCAACATTCTTCAAAATATCTTATTTTGTGTGCAACAGAATAAAGAAACGTGTACAGGTTCGGAACAATGTTAGGATGAGTAAATGATAAAAGTAAATATTTTACCTTTCACTTTTGATCAGTTGAATGTGTCTTTTCCGAATAAACATTTACTGAAAACAGTTATTTAAAACTGCAAACTTTCGGTAGCATACTTTAACCAACTTGTTCAAACTGTAAAAATGATTTATAAATGGGCTGAATAATGGCAAGTAATGGCAAGGTAAGGGTATATAATTTATACCAAACAGAAGTGAGGGAAAAATTATATGAAAACAGTCTATGGGTCCTTTTGTGTTTATTAATCTATGTCACTTACAAAAACGTACTGTGGCATTACCCTGGTACAGTAAAGATATAAGATGGTAATACTATGATACTTTATTAATATATACCTTGATTACAAAATCATATTCAGTAGGACTCAAGGTTCTTCAAAAAAAAATAGCATGCCGTTACCATGGTGTATATCCAAAAATAAATGGTATTTTAAAATCTCTAAAGAGCCATGGGAAAACGAAACGTGTACAGGTTCGGAACAATGTTAGGATGAGTAAATGATAAAAGTAAATATTTTACCTTTCACTTTTGATCAGTTGAATGTGTCTTTTCCGAATAAAAATTTACTGAAAACAGTTATTTAAAACTGCAAACTTTCGGTAGCGTACTTTAACCAACTTGTTCAAACTGTAAAAATGATTTATAAATGGGCTGAATAATGGCAAGTAATGGCAAGGTAAGGGTATATAATTTATACCAAACAGAAGTGAGGGAAAAATTATATGAAAAAAGTCTATGGGTCCTTTTGTGTTTATTAATCTATGTCACTTACAAAAACGTACTGTGGCATTACCCTGGTACAGTAAAGATATAAGATGGTAATACTATGATACTTTATTAATATATACCTTGATTACAAAATCATATTCAGTAGGACTCAAGGTTCTTCAAAAAAAAAATAGCATGCCGTTACCATGGTGTATATCCAAAAATAAATGGTATTTTAAAATCTCTAAAGAGCCATGGGAAAATGTTTTACTTTTTGTTTGTTTTGCATTGGGACATAAATATCATTGTCTGCTAAATATAGCTATAGCAGTGACAAGCAACCCTTTGTCCAGCAAAATTGACTATTTTAGTCTCCCTCTGAATAATACCATGGCATTTTTTTTGTAAGTTGAATGTGTAAACATGTTTATCCTGTGTTCCCTTGTGAAGTGTTCAAAGTTTTATTAGTGAGTAAATGAAAATGCAGAAAAAGGAGAGTCATTTAGTTTGTTTCACGTCTCTCAGAATGGGGAGAGATGCAGAACATCACTACCACTCGTGAGCAGGTGGAGCTGAAGGGTTTGGAGAAGTTCACAAACTACAGCATTCAGGTCCTGGCCTACACACAGGCAGGAGATGGCGTCAAAAAAAAAAACGGCCACTTTAACAACAGACAGAAGTTTTAAGGCCTGTTCACACCAATATGAATGATCGGTCCAAAAATGTTGCCCAGTTTTTGAATGCGATTTGTCTGTTCAGAAAAATGGAAAGAAATGACATGGAATGAAAACACAAATTCACTCTCTCACAGTAGGTGGCGCTTATTTGTATTTGTTATGGTGTTTATCAAATAACACCAAATACAAGAGTACAGAGATAAGAGAACCAGTTCTGCATTTATCTTCTACTGTTCACTGTCGCTTAACAGAATTTTGTTCGTGAGTGTCACCAAATCATAGTTTTCTGTAACAGCAGTGGCTCTGGGCATATGAACAAAAGCTTAAAACTTAGTGGTTGGCAAATTTTCTTTGCAGTGGAATGGAAAGAGAACACCACTTCATAAAAATATGAATGCGAATGTTTGTGTCGGTCTGAACACCAATCATTTAAATAAAAATATGTACTGCATTTCATGCGCACTGTACGCAAACCTTTGCATATATGTAAAACCGGAAGTATACTTTGACAGCTGACTAAATAGGCAAAAAGACAGCTTGACATCTTTTGTCTTCTTTCTAAGTCCAGAAAAACTTTAAATCTGGAATATTTTACACATTTTACAAACAAACCTTTTGGTCACCGGGAGGTGGTATATCCCATCTCTCTGTCATACATTAATAGTGTTCTGTCTCTCTTTTTCTCTTTCAGACCCCGGCCCTCCAGCTGGCATCAAAGCAGTGCCATCCTCTGCCACCAGTGTGGTGGTATCTTGGCTTCCCCCCATCAAGCCCAATGGTATCATCCGAAAATACACAATTTACTGTTCCAGCCCTGGATCGGGCCAACCGGTGAGGCATTAAAGGGGGAACTTGTTTTTAACGTTGATGTTGGTGTTAGTGTGCACTCTTAAAAATAAAGGTGCTTCACGATGCCATAGAAGAACCTTTTTGTCTAAATGGTTCCATAAAGAACCTTTAACATCTGAAGAACCTTTCTGTTTCACAAAAGGTTCTTTGTGGTGAAAAAAGGTTCTTCAGATTACAAAAAGTTAAGAAAGAGATGGTTCTTTAAAGAACCTTTGACGGAATGGTTCTTTGTGGAACCAAAAATGGTTCTTCTATGGCATCGCTGTGAAGAACCTTTTGAAGCACCTTTTTTTAAGAGTGTGGCTTGCTTTAGTGTTTTTGTTCAAAAACGAAATTAAGGCACACTTGTGTTTGTTGAAACAGACAAGAGTGAATATTTGTGAGGTTTTTTTGTTTTTTTTGCATTTATGTGATTTGTTTCATACTGGAACAGTATGTGTGGATTTTGGATTATATCAGTTTCTTTCGATTCTAAGTATAAATCAGTGTTTATTTCTCTATATTGTCTATTTGTGTCTGGATTTGTGGAGAGTGTATTTTTAATCTGTGCATGTGTGAGGTTGTGCTGCAGTAGCAGCGGGATGTGTGTGTGTGTGTGTGTGCGTGTGTGTAAATGAGAGGCTCATACTGCAGTGTGTGCATGCAAGCTCACCCTCCCATCTCATTTACATATCTGCGTCTCATCACGTTGCCTAGACAACCTCATCGGTTCATCAGGGAGGGCAGGAAACAAGCTGAGAGCACACAGACACACACACACACACACATCTCACAGGCTCAATCACATTTATAACCACCTCCTCAACAAACACACACACACACATCATTTGTGTACTCTCACACTGAATTAATGTACCTGTCCAGATGTACACATGCTCACTCTCTTCCTTTCTTTTGCTCATTCACAAATCACTCCTCGTTCTCTCTCTCTGTGTGTGTGTGTGTGTGTGCGTGTGTGTAAATGAGAGGCTCATACTGCAGTGTGTGCATGCAAGCTCACCCTCCCATCTCATTTACATATCATCGTCTCATCACGTTGCCTAGACAACCTCATCGGTTCATCAGGGAGGGCAGGAAACAAGCTGAGAGCACACAGACACACACACACACACACACATCTCACAGGCTCAATCACATTTATAACCACCTCCTCAACAAACACACACACACACATCATTTGTGTACTCTCACACTGAATTAATGTACCTGTCCAGATGTACACATGCTCACTCTCTTCCTTTCTTTTGCTCATTCACAAATCACTCCTCGTTCTCTCTCTCTCTCCGGACTCTCGCAGAGCACGGGGTGATTACTATGTAAATGAGTGTGAGAGGAGAAGGGGGGAGGAGGAGGAGGTGGAGGAGAAAGGGGGGTCAGACTCAGCGTGCGGGGAGTACTTTTGTTCCTCTTTTCATTATCTCCCTCTATCGCTCCCTGGATCACCGCTATCTCTACACTGGAGGAATATTTTAATATCCGTTACAATGCTCCACCCCTCCCGTACCTGATTCATGCTGAGAGAGAGGGAGGGAAAAGATGAATCGAAATGAACTAGGGAGAGAAGGTTCAGAAGCCTAGTGAGCGGTCTACCTAGACACCATCTTTAGGTGTCACAAACACACCCAACACTGCCTTCTTAGGAAACTTTTTGATGTCCCGCAAATATGATTTGTCCCTCTTGTAAGGGACCCTCTTCCAAAAATATTAAGGCAGCTAAATATATAAGACCCATTTGTCCTAGATTGTACTGTGAAAAATGTAGTGTTATGTAAATTGCATTAGTTTTATTGTTATTATTATTAGTAGTAGTAGTATAATGCCAATGGTACTACTAATACCTACAGTGTTGGGGAAATATAAGTTTAAAAGTAATGATTTACAATACTGTGTTACTCCCTTAAAAAGTAACTAATTGCGTTTCATACTTACTTTTATGAAAAGTAATGTGTTACATTTTCTCATCTGGATGGGGCTTGCATTTTTGTTTTTTATAAAAGCGTATGGTTGAATTGGATCATCGCAGGTAAGCAGCAAAGATATTGGTTAATAAAATCAGATGAAATACTTAGATACAAAGGATATTTGTGTTTGATTTAATTATTGCAGGTTTGCGTCATTCTGTTTTTATTAATTTTGAGAAATAGTGAATCTGTTTTTGTGCAAGTGAGATGAGTAAATGCATGATCACATTTAGTCTAGAACTACAGTGAGCATCATGTTTATACAGCGCACACAACACTACTGCACTTACTCCCGATTTCTCTCAACATGGGGACAGGAGAGCTGTCAGCCAATAAATGGGAAAACAAAGTAGCTACCGTTACTTATTTGAAAAAGTAACTCAGGTATTTTTCTCGTAAATTAAAAAGTAATGCGTTAATTTACTAGTTACTTGAAAAAAGTAAACTGATTACGTATCTTGCGTTACTTGTAAAGCATTACCCCAACATTGAATACCTATGCTATTATTATTATTATTATTATTATTATTATTATTATTATTATTATTGGCAGAAGTAAGAGGTCATCCGGGTACTTTTCTCCTACTGTTTTATGAATTCTATGAATTCAGTCATCTACTATATAGTATGGAAGTAGACATATTCATATACAGGGAAAGAGTTATTCCAAGATAGCCGACCAAGGTGGTCCAATTATAACTGAGGAACTTTAAAAAGTAGTGTAGCATCTACTTCTACTATCATCTACCTTGACTGTTTATTTATTTATATGTGTATTTATTTGCTTTAATACTGGTGTATCATAATTTAAATCCATTGTAAAATTAAATATAAAGTGGTCCAAATCAATTACTTATAAGGTTCCATTTCAGTTACAACGCTCCATCAGAAGACAGCTGCTTCTGTAGGTAGTACACAACAAGGCAGCTCACTAGGTTTTGGTTCAGAGCTAGAGAGAGAAAGGTATTTCTGATTATGAGCAGAACGTGGAAATATATTTATTCAAAATCCATTAACCTCAAGTCATCATAAGAATCACCTCATCATGAATTGAGACAACACCGTGTGTGTGTGTATGTGTGTGTGCGCTCGACACGTGTGTGTGTGTGTGTGGCAGCATTCAGTACAATCGGTGGGAATGACACTGTGTGTGTGTTAGCATGTCTGCGGGCAGCAGACATTGACTGTGATGAGCACGCATTTGGACAGCAGACACATGGCTCTCTTAAACACACTACAATTATAGAGAGCTCGAAGCACAGCCTAACATCTCTTTATTTCTGTGTGTGTACAGTGTACGATTTTATATTTTTGTTGTGCATTACAATGAAAGGTGAATAATAGAAGTACCCATTATGGAGTGTGTGTGTGTGCGTGTGTCTCACGCATGCTGAGGTGAGCAGCAGATATCTCTCATTAGTGGGCCTCTATTGTTAGTGTTATCTGAGGCTGACTGATCTAGTGTGTCTAGGAGTATTGTCTTTTTACCCTCTCATCTACTTGTGTGAGGCCCCCTGGGTCTCTCTCTGTCTCTCTCTCTCTCTCTCTCTCTCTCTCTCTCTCTCTCACACACACACACACACACTCACACACAAACACATATACTGTAGACACAAATGCACACACAGACACATAGTTCAGCCTTTTTCACTCACATAAAGAAAAGCAGCAGAAATCTCTTAGCGTGTTATTTAGCAAACGCTATTAAATCAAGGGTAAAGGAAAGAATTGTCTTTGAATGATAATTTTCTCCAGGTGCCACCACACCATGAGTTACACATTTGTCTTCACCTTTAAAGAGTCCAGTATAAATCCAAGTTATCATCTTTATTTTTTAGCTTTAAAAAGCATTTTTATAAGAGATGGTGCCTAAAGCAAGGCCAAAAACATTCTCTGTGCAAACGTTAATGCTTAGCAAGTGCAGTTCCATTAAAACATTCATTGTTGTGATGGTAACAAAGCTCAGTACCAAGCTGTTATAAAATGTGTTCCCTTTCAGTCGGTCACTCTCGACATCACGTTCTAGTTGTGTCCACTTTTGGACATCACGTCGATCGTTGCCTCACGTGCCTGGGCATGTAGCACGCTGAGGTGGCGTTTGTGGATGAGTCATCTTCTCATTGCGGGAAGATGATCATCTCAGAGTCGCGGGCCAAGCTCCGTTTCCTCAAGGGGCGGAGTTCCGTTGCCTCTGCCTCGATCTTCAGGCAGTAGCGCGGGCGGTCTGAGGCACTCCGCAGCCAGTTGAGCTGCCAATGGAACATGCTGGGCCCTCTACAAGGAGCGTACCAGCCGTATCCTTTGGCGCTCCTCCCAATGACCAGATGTCGATTGCTGCATCGGAGGGTGAGCCAGAGCTTTCTGAAGCGGAAGCTTCGGCTGCGCTGCTCTCCTCCGGGACTGTAGCAATTCCTGAATCGGATCCAGAGATAATGGCTATGCTTTCCCAGGCCGCCGTATGGGTAGGGCTCGAGTGGAGACTTCCACCATGTCCCGAGCCCTTAAGGTTGCACAATTGGTTCTCGGGGTGGTCCGCGCTGGTTCTCAGCGCCCCGCCTCGGTGCCTTTCTTCCCGGAGGTGCATGAGGAGCTCACCAGGTCGTGGACGGCACCTTTTACTGCCGGATCTGCTGGTTCCTCCTCCCTCACCACCCTCGATGGTGGTGCAGCTAGGGGGTTACAAGGGTCCCCCCGGTGGAGCGGTCAGTTGCAATGCAGTTGTGTCCTAATACCGCCTCCAACCGGCAGGGAGAACCATGCCTCCCCTCTGTAGGCACTCGACTGGCGATGCTTATACGATCTGTGGAGAAGCTGCCTCCGCCTTACACGCTACGGCGTGATTGCAAGTGCACCAGGCCAAGGCACTGAGGGACTTGCACGAGGGTGGTCACGACC